GAAACTAGATTAATTGTTCTCTGTATTTCTTAAGTGATTATGATTATACACATATATAAATGAACACCTTCCCTATGTGTTATAGCCGAAAGTAAATCAATCTGGGAAAAAATTAATAATTTTAAAGTTTGCAACTGTATGATATTAAATGCTCATGAATAAGAATATGCTTATATTCGTCACGGTAAAATGTCTATCTATAAAAGTTTAGATAAATTTGTGATTAATAATCCAAACATAAAGAGATTTTTCTATTATGAAATGTATTCAACGAAAGGTTTTATATTCAAGTCATATGAAAGGTGAACATAATAAGTTGGCATGAAAACATAATTTATATTTTATCATGAGCTCAAATATTGAATAATTATAATCTCCACAAAACCCCCTTCTGATAATAATAATCATGTGCTTACTAGTGATTGGCTTCAAGAGCTATTTTCCGGAGTTCTAGGGAGAAGTCGTGATTAGTGGAGTTCAACTGGGTCTGTTGAGAGACAGTAACTCACTGAAGACAATAACGGACGGTATTGCAATTTCGTGAGTTGGTTGAATTTGCACATTAACGCCGCTTGATACCGGTCGCCTCAGTGGTCTAGAGGTTCTGGGTCCGAATCCAGCAGGCAATATCATAGATGCGCACTGCTGAAGGGTCCCATACTAGTACGAAACGGCCACCCAGTGCATCCAGATTTTCCGTGGTGGTCTAACTTTAATTGACTCATTAACTCAACCATTAAATTTATATTCCGATTAATATAAGAGGGCGAAGAAGACAAACATCTTCATCTTTCGTTATTTTGTAAATAGTTCTGAATTGTATAAACAATTATATATATATATATATGAGCTTCCTGTTCCTGCCATCTAGATGTTTCAACAAGTTGCCTGGTTTCTTATTTCTTTTAATAGATCACTATGTTAATTAATTGCATAACCTATTCAAGCGCGTCTGTGAAATGTTTACGACCTTTCATTGTACCAATTCGAAAAAAGTACAACCAGATACATCATGCCGACTGGCAATATGTTTTAAAAAGGAAGAACCTTATTCAGATGTTGATTCCTGTACCACTAACATGAAACTGGCGATCACTTAATATTTATCCTGAGGATCTACCACTAACTAAGAAAAGGAAACCTGTTGAAATACTTTGTGACGAGAATTTTATATTGTACCAAAAAATATAATATTGAATAAAGCCAATAATAGTAATTATATATATGTATATATACGTATGATCTTAGTGCTAATTTTATTCTTAGCCTTTCATATACACAAATCTGTCGGCAATTCAATGTCTTAGCGATAAGGAAAGATATCGATCTATATTGCTTGATAATTACCAAGGTGGTTGGAAGAGGTTTCATTTCCGAAGTTGTCTAATTTTTTAGTGTTTGGAGCTTAAAACTATTCACTGCATACCCAGTGGTCCCTGAAACATATTTTTAATATTTTGAATCTAATCGCATAACAGACGAGTAAAATAACGTAGTCTCGGATATGATAAAATGCATGTCCTGTATTTCTTTGTTAGCCACAGAACTTAATGAGTACTTGTAACAATCATAATATCAAAAAAATTTGCTTTGTATATACATATTAGTATTGAAGTCCTGAATGACAACTGCAGAGTAATGTAAACTCGAATATTCATATCTGGAATTATTATGGGTTACTGAATATTTCAGAAAATACTAACTTATTTTGCTTAAAAAAAATCTTTCTGTAAGATCATTTTCATCGGTTCATAAAAAATAAACTCCCACCATTTTGTTTATTTGAAAAACAACATTTCTGTCCTTAACATTATAACCTTATTTTCATTATTTAAGTCATTTTGTCTATTTTAAAGTTAAGTATCTAATGCAAAAATTAAAAAAAACATTCCAACTTATTTATATATTGTCGTTTGAATAGTTAATAAATGGTTGTTAAATGGAAAATCAAAGAAAATAAATTCACTGTCAAAATATGAAGATATTTATTCATAATGTTTAATATTCTATTTATATACAAATACTGTTACCAAATTGAATATAATCGATGTTTTAAGTACCATTTATTTATTTTTTTATTATTAGAAGCTTTATTCAACATTTTATTTTCGATACAACATAGAATTCTCAGCATAAAGTATTTCAACAAGTTTCCTTTTCTTATACCTTGATCGATTGTGACGATAAATTTTGAATGATGACCAGTTAGATGTTAGGAGTTCGGTAATCCACATTTGATTAATGTTCATTCGTTTCAATGCATATTGCCGGCCACCATGATGTCGCTGATTGTACCTTTTTGTATCTGTATAGCGAAAGGTTGTAAACTTTTCATAAACGCGCCTGAATAGGTTGTGTGCACAATAGACATAATGATGTGCTAAAGCAAACAACAAAACAGATAACTTGATGAAATATCTAGATCGGAGGAACAGGCAGCCCAGATATTCAAGCAGGCCACCATAGAGAAATAAAAAAAGAAAAAAAATTTCGAATGTTTATAGGAAAAAAATGGATACAAAATTTTTAGCTTCTGAAAGCCTTAAAAGTAATATTGAAATCAATTCTAAAAAAATTAGTTATAAAATTTTTCCAGTTATGAATTCATCTGATATTTATTCGGTTGTTTGTTTTTTTTTCTTTTTTTCTTTTTGTTATAACGCTCGACTTTACTTCGTCTAATGTTATAACGGTTGGGTTTACACGTTTACACATATGGGACGTTAATTTACCTTGGACGAATATCTACACAAAATTCCCTCACAGTGTCTATTCTACAGAACTTCAACACAACTCAGATCAAGAACACGTGATTAGCTTGATAACAAAGTAAATATATTTCCACACCAAAAACCCGACACGATCCAACAACAATGAACAGTCAATAATAAATGATAATAATAATAATGATAGGGGAATATATAACTCATCTGATACCTGCCAGACTATCTACATATGTGACTAAGCAGATAACCAATCATTGTCATTCTTGCCCACATATCACTTTATAAAGCCAACATATATTTTGTTGACTTTTTATTACTAACCAATAAGGTCTATGATATACTACTTATTATTTCCTTAGTTATTTTAATTTTTGTATGAACTGTTATATAATTCATACCGATGAACTTCATAAACTTTCACTTGAAAATTGTGATATTTATATATTTTCTTTATTTGAAAAATATAATGAATAATCGAGTATCATAGTATTTTCTTAATAACGATAAAATGTTATAGAGTAGTATATATATATATATATATATAAATAGGGGGGACACACTCGGAGCCTTCGACCTAAATGTCTGATCCACAAGGCAGTGGAGCAACTTCAGGTGATGTATTCCCATGATAGCCGGTGACTAACAATCGGTTCATATGTCATTTGTTTCTTCAGGATCGTGGAGCCTATGTGCATCATTGGTTTGGAATGAGGGTTTTCCAACTCCCCTAGGTGGACTCTCCGTATCCACCAACCCGGTTTGCTTATTGTACTTTCAATTCCCTCTCAGTGTCTGTGTGCTCGTGGCCATGTGACAGCATTTCGACAGGGAGAGCTGACTCTCCGCACTCTCGGCCATACCATGGCATTCAGGAGGGGGTTGATTTTGAACTAGGTTTTCATTCAGTTAATTTCCGTATTCAGTCGGTGTAGTTTTCAATGGATATTTTTACATTAAATCTTTGTGATTTTTGCATTCAAGTAATGATTATTAAATTTGATAATTTCTGTAGTTAATAACAATCGAATTTATACGGTGTATAAGTGAATGTACTCGTATGCAAGTAAAACTTTTCTGAGATGTTTGCTAAAAAATTCAGATAAATAAAACGATTGTAAACAATTTTGTTGATTAGAAGAATACATTTAAAGTTGAAAGTGTACACAACTGTGTCGATATAATGATCTGAAGGTTAGGCGCTTACCTCTAGATCTGTAGGTCATCGTTTTAATTCTTGGTGTAGTTGACGTATACAAGTTGGGAGTCTTATTTTAAGGCGAATCAAACTACTTTTTAATGGTAGACTAATTTAAGTCAACCTAAAATAGAAAATAATAACGTAAGTCATTATTCTGTATATCGAATAATGATTGTTCCACAACATTAAATAAATCCAGAACCTTAAACTATATCCATATTGTGAAAAAAAATCTCAATGGTAAAGAATCATTAGCTATTAGGAATATAACTGTTTAAAAAACATTTACATAACTTTATAGTTGAATTCACGAATCACTTAAAGCTAGACCAACATGGAAAACCTGGGAGCACTTGACGGTCGTTTCTTACTAGTATGGGACTCCTCAGCAGTACGCATCCATAACCTCGTTTCGCAAAGGTCGAACCCAAGACCCATCAGTCTTGCTCACGAGCGCCTTAACTTCAAGACCATTTAGCTGACCGGCATCTAACGGTGTTAATGTCTAACTTCAATCAATCCATAATTGTCAATAAAAATCACCAGTTGACAGATGAAAAGAAAAAAAGCCCAATGACATACTTTACTAATATCCAATAAAAATCTTTTATTTTATCCAACCATTAATCATTAGTAAGAGATTTTAGAAAAAAAAATTTGATAGTTTCTATCCTGTTAGGGAAAAATCTAGTCACATAGATTATATTCATAAATTTAGTTTAATCTTAAATGGAAAATTAAGTTCAATAAGTTATATAACATAAGTTGTATGCATTAATTAATTTCCTATATATTGATTACATGTTTAATATTAGGATGATTTCACTTATCTGTTTACATTGAAACAATAGTATAGTAAAAGAATTATGGATAAAAATTTAAAAATTGTCCTTTTTTTCATATGTATATACATAAATACATACTAGACAAAGACTATGTATAAGTACATGGATAACAACGGAAGAAATAAAAAAAATTTTTTTTCTTTTTTTTGTGGAGGGGGGGGGGGAGGGAAATAAACACACACACTATATGGTAGACAGGTATAAGATGAATATACGTATATTTTGAAGTCAGGAAAACAATTTATAGATTATGGACGGAAAAGAAAAATTAAAGGAAATTATTAAGTGAATTAAACATGAAGAAATGTTATTCATGTTAAAATTATCAATAATACATACATACTCTGTTTGTTTGTTTGTTTGTTTGTAATATTTCTCATTTTTCATGAAGTTACTACTTATGCAAATCTTATTTAAATGATTATATTATGGATTTCATATTGGATAAATTTTAACAAAATATATATCCAGTATTTCATAGAACATAACTTTACAATATAATAGTAATGTTGCTTAAAACAATATATACAGTCTGATGATGTACGATGGAGCAAATTTTTAATGATTGAATGTATAATGGGAATATATTTATGAATATGGACCAATCTATGTAAATATTTGTATAAATACTTGGTTAACAGATAAAATGAAATCTGTTCTATCAGAATGTGGTATACAATCACATATATCAGATAAAACTGTAGATTCAAACAATCCTTCGGAAGCTGAGGATTATGATAGGTAAGAACACTGTTAATTTTTTTTATTGGAAGTCTAACATATGTACTCTGATCAACAATTTTCAAGGGGACTGGTTTACTCCAGAATCATTTCTATTGCAAACCTTATGATAGTTTGTTCACATCTCAGAAGTCATTTTACAGTTGACAGGGTGAAAAAATACCTAGTTCTTAACTTCCCAGATGTAATGAATTTCATATGATCCTTTATAAATCTGAGTTATAATCATTTTAAGAATTGCTCATAAATGACTTCCATATGAAATGCATCAAAAATGTTTTCACATATGTTTACATCTCATATTTAAAGATTAGACCCATGCTTTCAAGGTAAACTAATCAGTCTTTGTAAATTGTGTAGTTTAAGGCCAGTCCTATCACTTAGTTACAAATTAGGTTATAATCCGATTTATCTTGTCTGCTAAGCAAAGTTTTGCATTCACCTTATAGATAAATTGAATGTTTTGTAAAATATGTCAAAAAAACCATTCAAACATATATACAACATTATACAACTTTTGATAATTTTAAAAGGAAATCGGGAATGCATCAGCTTTAAGTGGTTATATTTCGACAAAAATTTCTTTGTTATAATATAGGATGAGCTTTCCCTGCGGTAATTTTATGATCGTTAATTTTTACAGTTAAAACTATTGTGAATTGTAAAGTTCATCTCATGAATTACTGATGTATTATGTCATTATTAAACTTCCCTAAATTACTATAACACCTCTTACTTCTAATTTTCTCCCTAATATGGTGTTGAATATTTGAGATATTGGTTATTTAGTTTCTTAAAACACCTGATTCAATTTCCTGAAATTGGTTACAATGTTATGGCTATGCCTTTTTGTAGATTCAAGTATTAAGACAAAATAACTTTTCCCATACTTTATAGGATGATATTACTTCTTGATAGAAACCATACCATAGCTTTATCATTATCTATCGCAAATTGCATAAGTTTTAATGTAACCACAAACTGCTTTACAGTTTTATTGAAAGAAAAGCGTGGTAGCGCACAGCATACTGTTTATATTGAGTGGTTTAATAAATTGTAGGTGATAATTGGAAACATTTTGACATTTATTAAGAACATGCATTTCAATTCCCCATATTTTATCTTCCCTTTTTTAGAAATTTTTACTGCTGTAACCTAGTTATTATGAATGTTAGCTTATCATAGGAAAAGTACTCTATTTTCAGAATTATAAATTTTGTATTTTGGTTAGTGGAATGAATCTTGTACGGTATAACCACTGTTTCCTTATAATTCAATCAAATATCAATGTGAGTGACTACATGGAAGACTATTATGTTTAATTTCACAAAAACGTTTTCTTTATTAGTAATCAGATTAAGAATCATTCAGCTTTTGAATTGATCATTGTGTTAATTAACTACTGCAACTGTAAACTGATTAGAAATCAAAAGTGTAAAATCTAGTATTCGAATCCATGAGTTGGTCTAAACCAGACCATCTTTGAAAACCTGAAAACACTGGGTGGCCGTTTCGTCCTAGTATAGGACTCCTCAGCAGTGAGCATCCACGATTCTGTATGCGACACTCGAATCCTGGACCTTCGGTCTGGCACGCGAATGAATAACCTCTAGACCACTGAGCAAACTGGCATTCAACGGTGTTGATGTTTAACTTCATCCAACTCATGAATTCAACTAATAAATTAATGCAATCTTCACAACCCCCCATTCTGATAATAGACATGTAAAACTGTTAATTCTTATAAGCATAGATGGCTTAAAAGTTTTTATTTTTTACATTTCTTAAAAGCTAGTTTATAATTTAACCATTTAACTGTTTAACCACAGTCTAAGGCTTTTGAAATATTCAAAAACCATGTTGATTGTTTTCAAAATATCCATTTTTATAAAAATATATATCTGAGCTTTGCTTATGATTTCCAGTATTTTTTACATTTATTATTAAGTATATGTTTTAATGAAGCTTCATTAAGTTTCTATTTCTGCATGATAAAATAATTTGTTATTTTCATTACATCTGTTAAAATCAAGCTTCATTGAAATATAAATAAGAATGTTCTGGATTACTACTAATATGTGTTATTATCAGTAAGAGGATTTGTGGAGATTGTAATATTTTTAACTGATGAATTCACGAATTGATCTAAACTAGACCATCATTGAAAACCTGGAAAGCACTGGACGGACATTTTGTCTCAACAGTGCACATCCATTGGTCTGCACGCGGTTGTCCAGTGCTTTCGGATTTTCAAAGTTGTGTAAATTACTTGTCAAATTACAAAATTACAAAAATGTACCTAATACTTTTGTGAATATTAAATTAAATCATTTTCTTTTCCATTTTGGATCAAATGAAAACAATCGGATCACAGGACTTAAACACAAATTCTAAAGTAAGAAATTTTAAATTTCACTACAAATCCTTGGAAACATGGAAAAAAGAAAAAAAACACAACCATTAATATCTTTTTATGAATAATAGACTAGTTTTCAGATATTTTAATGTATGTTTTTGTTGTTAATCTAAATACAAACTGACAATCATAATTTCATCAAAGAAACATTTAACTTTGAATAAATATTATAACAGAAAATAGAAAATTCTAAGATTGTTTTTTTTGTTGACTCAATTTTCAAATGAATGTATAATGTAATATGAAACAAATGGTTTCTATCTTAATGATAAATAAGATGAGAAATATTTATTAATTATTAAAAAAAACATGTCAGTTGTTAGGAGAAAAAGTTTTTTAGAGTTACAGTTTTTTTTGTTGTTTTTTTCTAAAAAAATCAGTTAGAAATATTTTTATATAAAAGAGATTTGTATCACGAAATGACATGAGATGAACAATCATTTGTATTAAAATTAAAAAGTTTTTTTCATTCTAGCTTCAGGACTTACTAGTACTTTTTATTTATAGTAGTATAGAGGTTTTTTGGTATGAAACAACCTGAAATTATTTTACCGAATTTAATTATTCCCATGTTTTCAGAAAAGTATATTCAGTGTTATGATCTTTACAAGTAATATATAAAGAGTTTGGACAAAATAATAAATTATAAAAAAATATTTTTTGATCAACTGAGTTATTTAGTTACTAGCCAAAACCCAGAGATTATGATTTTAATGTGTATTTGGTGTCTTTTAGATGAATGCTGAATTCGATTTTATAGCTGCTTCTAGGCTGCTCTTAGGCTAAATCCACAAAGTGACTTGAACCCAAGAGAAAAGGCGCCAAAACTGGTGTTAAATGCTTATTTGAAATGATTTAATAATAAATCACTGTTCATGTGATTTATGTACGATCAGATTTGCTTAAAGTGAACTGATTTGTATTTAACAATAATAATTCATCAACTTACATTAGGAATACATATTTACACGATTAAGTATTTACATGATTAAGCTATTACTTGCCATATCACTATCATTTCTATGCAAATATGTATATCAACATATCTAGAAATAAATCCGAAATTTTATTGTTGGGCATCGGTAAAAATGCTCAACCTCTATGCATATAAGTGACTAAAAATAATTCTTTATAAAAGACATTACAGTAATTTACGTCTGTTACCCCTCGTGGAGAAGCATAGGCCACCCACCAGTACTCACCATCCAACCCTTCCCTGAGAAATACTTTCCAGTCCCTTCCTGTTGCCATTCATCCTTTTCATGTCTTCTTCCGATTTCCGATCTACTGTATTCTTCGGCCTTTCTTTTTTCCACTCCCCTTCAGTATTCTAAGTTAGGGTTTGTCTGGTGTTGTAGTTTGGTGATTTCCGTAACGTATTTCCTATCCAATTTCAACGTCTTTCCCTAATTTCCTCTTCAGCTGAAAGCTGGTTTGTCCTCCCCCACGATAGGTTGCTGCTGATGGTGTCCGGCCAACAGATATTGAGTATCTTGCTTAGACAACTGTTTATAAATACTTTTATCTTCTTGATGATGGTTATAGTAGTTCTCATGAAAGATATTAAACCTTATGAAATATTTGATATTCACAAAAGTATTATTTTGTTATTGTACTGTCCTATGACTAAAATGATTTAATCGACGGATATAATAAATTTACTTAACTAATTTTCATCAAAACTATAACATTAAAATTGTAAAATATTCGAAAATGTATTATCAGATTGGCTTAGATATATTTATATGTTTTACAATTGGATAGCTTATAACAAGTCGAAATAATTAAGCAAGCACTATGCATCATTGCATTCGTATTATGGATATTTATCGACTTTTATAGTAATATATGTCTTTGATAACTAAATTGTTTTAGTTTACATAAAAGACAAAATAAAATTTCCGAAAGAAAACAATTTCTCACTATTTACCATAGGTTTTAGCTTCTGATATAATCAGATTTATGAGGTAAACAATGTTTATAAAATTCTTACATTAAAATAATTTGTTAAGTAAAAGATAAATCTGTAAACAAAGTTGTCGAATACACTTTTCATTAAGCGGAATTTCAACCATGGGTTTCATATAGATATTAATTTATAGAATAATGTCATATTACATATTAGCTCGGACGTTTTCTTGTATGATTATTCTAACAATATACAATAGTAATGAACTTAAAACATTTTGTAATGAGGACTATCAAAAAGTATCAGGGTATAACTTGATGTACGTTATTGTCACTTAATGGTTATGGCTCATTGTTAGTAAATGATTGTTAATGTCTTACAAGATCAATGAGGTTCATTCATAGCTATGGACTGTTAGTCTAAGAAATTCCGTTTAAGATTGTAAGCATATTTTCACAGTATTCGGGCTCCGAGTTTACGTAAGACATTAAGGAGAAAATTATATTTTTAAAACATCTTAATCATTAAATGTGAAGTAAATTCAATATTTTTCTTGCCAGTTTGGTCCAAGAGTTTTAATGAAACACTATCAAACATCAAAAATATCGAATACAGATATATTGTTCACCAGTTTACTGTATTTTAAACAAGTAATCCAATGATGTTACAAGAGTT